TTATCCTCAGAGCCAGGAGATGCAGATTGTAATAAGGGGTTTTGTTCCCAGTGCTGTGGCCTTTTGGGCAAATTAACTTTGCTCAGCCGCAAGCTTTGTCTTTTGTTAAGGGGAGGGGATGCCACATAGCCTACCCATCTCAAAGTGAGAGCTACATCTAGATCTGGCAAAGGATGCGGCAAAAGAATCAACAATGGTGATAGTGATGACATTGGAAGTCCTTACTTTCCTGGCACTGTTGTAAGTGCTTTTCATTCATTTGCTCACTTAGTGTTCATAACACCCCTCTACAAAGATACTATTATTATTACTTGCTGATGAGGAAACTGAGGCACAGAGAGGTCAGGTAGCCTGCAAGAGGTAGAGGCAGGATTTGGACCCTGATCCCACCCTGCATGGCCTCACCATGACCACCATGACCACGGTTCTGTCCTGCTGGGCTTTGCTAGGGCCCAGCACTTGGCTTCTAGGACAGCGATCCTCCCTTCCTCCTCCTCCCTGCCCCTCCCTCACCTTCCTTCTCCTTTTTCAATTTTTTTCTTTAAATACCTTCTCTCCCGCACTAGGTCCAGACTGAGTTTCTCCTTTGGCTCATCTCTTTCCTCTTGTTGCAGGAGTGTACACCTTGAACAGTGAGAAGAAGTGGACAAACAAGGCCATTGGAGAGAAGCTTCCTGAGTGTGAAGCAGGTAGGCAGCCGAGGGCCTGGGAAGCAGACCAAGGATAGGTGTTGAGGGTTCAGTGCTTGGGCAGGGATATTGGTCGGAATGTCCTAGAGGCACATGCCCCTCCTGTGTGGCTTCTCCTGAGCATACGAAAGCCAAGACCTGGGACCAGGGAGAAGCACAAATGGCTGGCAGGGAACTGAGCAATTAGGTGATGATTCCCTTAAAAAGTTCACTAAGGTTCCTGCTTATTCAGGCCTGCAGGGCACTGACGGAACCCACTGTATACACTGCCCCCAAGGGGTCCAGAGACCCTAAGTGTACAGACAACCCACCCAGAGAGCCAGGGTCCCAGGGTAAAGACAGCTCCAGGAAGAACTATCAGGGAGGACGTAACGAACCCTAATCCAGGGAAGGATGACAGAAAGCTGGATGGATAGGGCTTCTGTTTCTTGTCATTAGGAAGAGCTATTGCTCTTTTTCCCTCTTGGAACAGGAGGGTTTTGCCTGCCCTCTTCTGCTATTAGTGGTGTGGAACTGCTAACCTGCCTTGTATTACTTGCAGTATCTGAGTTCTGGCCAATGCTACAATAGATCCCTCTTTATTCAGAGAGAATGAGTTATAATGAATTTCAAGGAATGGTGGACATGTCCTTGTTGTGACAAACTGTTGAATATACATACAGCTCATCAGCCAGGGTTTCTCAATCTCAGCATTACTTGTTTCTTTGGTGAGTTAGGAAAGCAGTAATGGAGCTCTGCCTTAGCGATAGAAACAACTGACGGTAAACACTGGAAACAAGAGGACAGATGGTAAAGCAAAGCGTGTAAACACTCCTGGCTCGGAAGAGATGAACAATGATCATGTAGACCGCAGTGACAGCCGAAGCTCCCCCCCCCCCCCCCCCAGACGGGGAGATCCTCGCGTTTCTCATGATTTCCTTGCTCTCCTTGACAGTGTGCGGGAAGCCCAAGAACCCGGTAGATCAGGTCCAGCGGATCCTGGGTGGCTCGGTGGATGCCAAAGACAGCTTTCCCTGGCAGGCCAAGATGATTTCTCATCATAACCTCACCACGGGGGCCACACTCATCAGCGAGCAATGGCTGCTGACCACGGCTAAGAACCTCTTCCTGGGTCATGGGGAAGACGCAAAAGCAAAAGATATTGCCCCTACCTTAAGGCTCTATGTGGGGAAGCAGCAGCTTGTGGAGGTTGAAAAGGTGATTCTCCACCCTAACTACCTCGAGGTCGACATCGGGCTCATTAAACTCAAACAGAAGGTGCCCGTGGGTGAGAAAGTAATGCCCATCTGCCTACCTTCCAAAGATTATGCGGAAGTGAATCGTATGGGTTATGTGTCTGGCTGGGGACGAAACGCCAACTTTAACTTCACCCAGCTCCTGAAGTACGTCATGCTGCCTGTGGCTGACCAGGACAGCTGTGTGCGGCACTATGAAAAGAGCACGGTGCCCGAAAAGAAGGAGCCCAAGAGCCCTGTGGGGGTGCAGCCCATACTGAACGAGCACACCTTCTGCGCTGGCCTGTCCAAGTACCAGGAGGACACCTGCTTTGGGGATGCTGGCAGCGCCTTTGCTGTCCATGACACTGATGACGACACCTGGTATGCGGCGGGGATCCTGAGCTTTGATAAGAGCTGTAGTGTGGCCGAGTACGGTGTGTATGTGAAGGTGCACTCCATCCTGGACTGGATTCAGAAAACCACGGCCGAAAACTAACGTGTGCTAGATTTCACTCTGGAAGAGGGGAAACTGGATGGGGGTGGAGGGATAAAAGCTGGTGTGAAACCAACGGGCTCCAGCCCTGCATGTCTAAGGCAAACAATAAAGAGCTTTCTTTTCACTCATTTCTGTGTTTTTTTTCTTTTTGGGGGGCCGGGGGGCTTGGACCTTTTTATCCTTTCCTTTATGGTACAGCAGCAGCCAGGCGGCACAGCGTGTACTGGGAATGTGTCAGAAAACACTGCAGGCCGACTGGAAAGCCCTATGGTGGTACAAACTGTCCCACTGCCGGTCACACTCACTGACTGAGTGCCTACTGAGGCAGCTCTCAGAAAGGTCATCATTACCCTTGTTTTACAGACAGGGAACACAGACTCTGAGAAGTTACACGATTTGCTTAAGGTTACGCAGCTATTAAGTAGCAAGGCTGAACCTTAAATCTAGGTCTGTCTGAATACAAACGCTGAGCTCCTTGCTGCATCCTTATTTTTTTTTTTAAATATTTTTATTGATTTCAGAGAGGAAGGGAGAGACAGAATCATCAATGATGAGAGATAATCATTTATCGGCTGCCTCCTACATGCCCGCACTAGGGATCGGCCCGAAACTTGGTTATTTGTTGTGACCAGGAATCGAACTGTTATCTCCTAGTTGACGTTCAACCACTGAGCCATGCTGGCTGGGCGATGTACTAAAGGTTTATAGCGGAAGAGTTCAGTTAGAAAAAGAGCTTCCTGTCTGAAAGGGTTCTGGAATCTTTCTTCTGGGAGTCCCTGAAGAGCATTTCTTTGTGAAATGGAAAACTTGGATGGCTTGTGTTTATTATCGGTGGAAATGGAGCTCTTGGGATGCTGCGAGGAAAAAATTCCCTGAGGTCCCTGCAAGAGGATGAGGTTTCCTGGAAAGCTGTATTAATGATGTAAAATTAAGGGGGTTCTCCTCCAAGGTCCCATCTCTGTCCGTCTCGCCGTGGAAGAAGTCCAATCTTGTCTTCAGCAGGGCCAGAATGAAGGCCACTGACCAGAGTTCCTGCTCCATATTAAAGTCCAGTCCAGCATCCGGCTTGCTTAGCTTGTGGTCCTAGCTGTAGTCCGCTGTGTGCGAATCTGCATAGCCAGAGGCCACTCAGCTGCTTAAGGCCACAGCAATGGAGAGCGAACAGGCAAAGGCACGGGCAAGCGTGGGTCATGGAGTAAGAGAGCAAGCAAGCAAGAGCAAGAGAGAAGGAACTCTTTGGGGATTTTAACCTTCTAAGATTTTGTGCACTTGTGGTGGCTCCACCCTCCTAGCCAATCCATTGCTCCCCAGGCTAGACTGACAGATAAGCACCTCCCCTACATCACCGACTTCACTGCACAGGCGCCCATCTCCCCCTTTGTCTGTCCACCTCCCCTTTTGTTTGATGCTTTCCCGTGATCTGCAGGGAATGGCATGGTGGTTCCCTGGGGAGCGTGAACCTGTAGTTTCCTGGCAAAGCTGCCCAGATGACCATGCTTCCAGTGTCTGGCTTCCCTTTGGCTCTCTTCCTTTATTAGTATTAACAAGCTACATACGACAAGAATGCAGACTCCTGTAGAGAGTAGGTTTCTTCCAAGTGGGGAAAGCAGCCCCTATGCTTTCTAACAATTCTGGTTCTCTCTCTCTTTCTAGTCATGAGCCCTTGAAGCAGTTTTGTCTCAGGAAGAGGTGGAGCTCTAACTTCTGGGAGAGCTCTGTTCCTACTTGCTAAGGGTAGTTAATTCTTTGTTTAGCTCAAATTGGGTGCTGGATGGTTAAGGTTCAAGTCTCACTTCCTGGGTAATAGCACAAAAGCTAGTAAATTTGCAAACCAGGACACTGTTTTCAAAGTGTGAACCAGGAAGGCTCCAAAATAAAACAAACTTGCCTGCTATCAGTGGAGAATTATTCATTCCAAGAGAAACTGGGATAATTAGGACTGGAGATCAGAGAGCATGAGTAATAGAAATATGTGAGTGGAGGAATGGGCAAGGTTGAGGGTGAGAAAGAGGTGTGTGTATGTACATATAGAGTAGAAAATAAGTATTTTTGCTCTTTCCATTTTACTTGTGTGTCAAATAAATATAGTTAAATCAAATTGTACTAGCCAATGTTTAGGAAAATTCTGTATTATGTTAAGAGATAAAGAAAAGCACAATATAAAGAAAAGTCAAACAAATCATGCAGGGAAATTGACCACAGTTGACTTGACTGCTCTGAGGTTTGTGGGGAATAAACACTTAGGCTCCCCAGGTCATCACAGTCCTGCGGGGTCTTCCACTCAGGCCAATATTTTCTATACAAGTCAAACCTCTCTCCACTGGGACGCTGAGCACCTTTCCGAAGGACCCGGAAAACAGCACAGCTGCCTTCGCGTACCGTTTCGAGATGGGCCTTTCTCTTCAGCTTTGACGGTAGTTAATGTGCTAAATGTCTTGATAGAGAAGGTCATATTTGGGAATATTCTTGGGATCAATTGGACTTTGGACAATAAGTTTCCCCCTCATTGCTCCTCGATAGATTACTTCAATCAAATCTATGAAGTCTTGTTTGGTTTTGAAACTTCCCACAAACTTAGTGTGATCTGGAGACCTAGGTAGCACAGAAGAGAAACAACCTGGCTCAGAACTTTGAACATTTACTTGCTGAAGACCTTCAGGGCAAACAAAACGAACAGTAGCTCTTCCTGTAAGGGAGACTTTAGCCATAAGGCCCAACAATGATTTTTCCATTTGCAATTACAGGGCCCATTTGATATACGACTAAAACCAGAGCTGTGGGCATGGAATAGCACGTAAGCTCTATCATATGGAAAGCTTCTGCTCAAAATGTATTTTAACCATTTCTCAACTCATTCTCAAGTACAATTCCCTGAGTACTGGTGTGGGCATAGTTTGTTTCATTGTTTTTGTGTTTGGCTAGGCACTGTGCAAAGCCCTAGTCGTGGTCTCCAAGTTCCAGTCACTTCCATTTCTGAGTAGTATTAATTTCTTTCCTTCTTCCTTTTTTTTCTTCACTATTTTGAACATCAAGTATGCTCATTGCAGAAATTTTTCAAGACAAAAAAAGTTGCCACATTTTGGTATATATCCCTCCAATCATACGTACGTGTATGTGTCTCTATGTGCATTTTTTTTCACAGTAATGGGAATTATATCACACATTCTATTTTGCAATGTGGTTTTTAAAAAAGATATGTTTTGTTCAAAGTTAACCATGCATCTACAACATCAGAGTAAATTGGTATCTAGTATCCCTTTGTGGACATCTAAATTCTAAGTATTTTGCTTCCTAAACAATGATGAAATAAGTATCCCTGGAGCCAATTTTGCCCACTTTCAGAATTACTTTTCTTCAAATAAATTCCTGGAAATGCAATTGCTGGATTAAAATTTTTACACACTTGTAAGGTATTTGGTATGTAATGTCATGGTAGTTAATGTGCTAAATGTCTTGATGGAGGTCATATTTGGGAATATTCGCCTTCTGAAAAGATTACAGCAAATTAATACTTAAATGAACCATATTCTACCTTTAGAACACTTAAAACACATAACATTTTACACCTTTCAAACTAATAATGACAAAGCAGGTACACAGATCTAGACAAGAGGATATCTCAACCACATTAAGAAAAAATAAAAATTATGGATATTTTCAATATAAATATTAAATTCTGGGATGCTGATTGGGCAGAAGGCATTACAGAAGACTTCATGTTACTTATACTTGACAGGCTTTGTTGAAGAATAACTTCAACAAAAGAATAACTTCTTTCCTGGCAGAAGACAGGAAACTTGGCAAGAGAGGAGCATGTCTTCGTTTGCTGAAAGGAGTACTTCTTTTAAAATGCAAACTATCAGTCCCAAAAGTTTAAGAATGACATATTTTGTTTGAAATGAAATCCCTGGGGAACTTGTAAGAAAATGGTTTGATATTTTCTAGGCTGAAGGATGATTAGTGCTTCACAGCTGTACTATTCTTTCATACTTAAGTAGGAAATTAAAATTTGCCAGTCATGCCAGAATACTCATTTTGCACCAAGCTGCTCATAAAAAAATTAGAGAGAGTATCTGTTGAGGAGACAGTATCAATAAAAGACTCACCTAGCCAACACTGCAAGCAAATAGGTAAGTTACGGAAACTGCTGAAAAGGAAACTTAGACTGTTATAGCTTCATGTCAGCCTGACTTACCCATAATCCACTTTCATATGCTGCCCATTGAAGAAAAACACAGTAGATGGAATATAACTGATGTCGAAATAGTGTGTATAGACTGGAGTTTGGTCCACATCCACCAGATATATAGCAGCCATTTTACTCAAGTCAGAAGAGGTCTTAGAAAGCTGCAAATGAGGAGAGAGATGTAGGTTGCAACATGAAACCAATGTTTCTGCTACAAAACGTTTTAATAGAATATTCTGTTTAAAAAAATTCCTGGGCCAAGAATCCAGCCTGTTTGAGTTCCACATTAGACAGTGTAACTTTATCATTCAGTCTGAATCACTATTGGCAGAGTTATCAGAGGGCCCTGGATAAATTATGTGAATATATTCCTTCATTTTTGTTCTACTTTTGACTGTAAAGATTTTATGAACTTTTTATGGATTTATAAAATCCATGCTCACTTAAAGCAAAAACAGAACAACTCATAAATATGTACCACAGACATCGAAATTCCCCCAAATGTTTTTCCTTATAATCTCCACATAAATGATAGTTATATATAAAAAAAGCAAACACTTACATGGCACTATTATGTGCTACCCTAACTGCTTTCCACTTTTAACTCATTTAATCCTACAACATTCCTATGAGGTACGCACTCTAACAGTCCCCATTTCAGAGGTGAGGAAACCGAGGCCTAGGGAGGTAATCTGCCCCTGGACACACAGCTAGTAGGTAGTCAGGTGTGGATTTGAACGGAGGGAGCTTGGCTTCAGAGTCTGTGCTCTTGACCTCCAGTGGTAGTCCTTCCTCCCTACAGCTGAGGTATAATCCTCTGGCCCTTACCCCATAGAGTAACACATCACATACTCATATTTAATCGCGATAATGAGGATTCTTACACTCCTTCCATAGAGTGATGTCAGCAATAGAAATAGTGGGGTAGGTCTCTCTCCATAATAAACATAATAGTGACACAACAGTGACATCAGCAATAGAACAGAGGTCTTAGTTCTGGAGTGAGTCTCTCTCCATAATAAACAGACACAAGAATAAACCTATTCTGTCCCAAACTGCCCTTCCTATTCACCGGAGTGTGAAGACGGGTGGTGAAGTCAGAGATCATCATGGGGCGCACGCTGGAGCAGAACACTAGTAAAGCAGATTTGCAGGCAGAGAAAACAGAGTTCAAACCCCAGCTCTGCAATTTCGTGGTTCTGTGCCTGTGGGACGTCACTTGACCTCCCTGGCATTCATTTCTCCCCTTGGGAACAGTAGTCGTAAAGAAGCCAGTGCTGTGAGATAATGTTCACAGATGCTTGTTCGTAACGTTTCGGGTCTTTCACTGCCTTGTTGGTGAAGTGGAGCTTGGACAGCTGCTAGAGGGGAAGGACATCCAGCACAGATTCGGCACAATCACAGGCTTAGGGGTTCGGCTCTTATGGAAGCATACTAACAACTGAACAGCTCTATCCCAGACCCTGCCTGCGTCCCTGCATGCACTTGGCAGATGTTGAAGTAAGAATGTATAGATTAAAAAATTTTTATTTTAAGTATTTACTTACAATGTCATCTAGTTGCAGACAGACAGGATCCTCGTCTCTCCCAAACCTGAGAACCAACACCTTCTCTGCAGTGCTCTTTATTGCCTCGTCGACTTCTTTTTTGCTAGTCAGCTTGGGCAACAGAAAGCTCATCTTGAAATAATCCAATGAATCCCTCACTGTCAGTCCTGAAATAAAGTTGCGATGTTTAAAGGCAGATTAAGGGCATGAGTCCTCATTTTAAAAAAAATTAATTTTGGGGCCGAAGCCGGTTTGGCTCAATGGATAGAGCGTCGGCCTGCGGACTGAAGGGTCCCAGGTTCAATTCTGGTCAAGGGCATGTACCTGGGTTGCGGGCACATCCCCAGTGGGAGATGTGCAGGAGGCAGCTGATCAATGTTTCTCTCTCATCGATGTTTCTAACTATCTCTCTCCCTTCCTCTCTGTAAAAAATCAATAAAATATAGTTAAAAAAAATTAATTTTTGGAGTAGGTAATATAGGTCCCACAAAATGTACACACACTTGGAATAATTATAAAGGCAGTTACAATACACTTCATTTTCAAAGTTGAGCCATCAGCTGTTATAGTGTAACACTATTACAGTGTTACATGTCTTGGGGACACACTGTATGCATGTTTTTTCCCCAGAGGAACACAGTATCACAACACAGAATCAGAAAAGTAAAAGGAACACAACCAATGCACAATCTGGTGACGAATAAGTCTACCAGTTAAAAAGCAACAATATAGAAAGGAATAGGGTGAAAAATCTCCCTCCCTCTCCCTCCCCTCAACTGGCCTAGTCCCGCTGCCCCATTTCTCCCCACACACCAGGTAGCTACTTCCATTAGCTTCTCATGTACCTTCCAGAGTTTTATTATGCATTCACTAGAAATACCAATGGGCATTCCTGCTTCCTCCTTCTTTTACTCTCCAATTAGCCTTTCAGCCAGTCAGTATTTCATGCGAAAAAAAGATGACACCCTCAAATTTGGCAACTGGGGGACTTTCAGGAAGGCAGGATATAGGAAAAGAATAGGGTCCAGTGCTATACTCTGGGGTGAGTAACAGCGGGGTGCTGTTCCCACCCCTACACCTGGAGGAGTCATGGAAGGGAGTAGTGACCGGAATTGTGTGGTGTAGAAGGCATCTGTGCAGGAGGTCAGCCTGCAGTTAGGGGATTCAGCTACTGCTCTCCCTCTGCCTAGTCCAACCCCCTCATTTTACATACTAGTTTGCTTATAGTTACACTTCTAGCTACAAAAATTAGGACTGGAAGCCAGGCCACCAAATCTGTACTTTAGTGTTCCTTCTACTACATATAATAAATTCCTGTTTTTATGATCAAGAAACTCTTGGGTCAAGGAGCTTTATTTCTGCATCCACCCACGAGACCCACTGATATACTTGATATTTTAAATTCAGTTCCAAAGTTGGCTGATGCTACGAGAAGGGAGGCTTTCTTTTTCTGTTTATGTGTGTGTGTGTGTGTGTGTGTGTGTGTGTGTGTGTGTCAAGCCACATTTTAAGATATGAATTAATAAAACTTCATATAGGAAATGAAATTGTTCTAAACAGGGAAGCTGACGGCCAGGAGGGACTTCATCAAATGTGAGCGGTAGAACAAATTACTGATGAAAGGGAACGTCAAAGAGAAGATGAACCTGTCCCACCACTAGAATTTAAGCAAACAGCAACTCCTCTATGTTACTGATAAAGAGGAGGAAGAGAGGGGGCGGGTGGAGACTGGGTAACTGTTGGAAGGAGAGAGAAACTGAGATAATAACCTAGGAAAATGCCCACAGCAAAGGATGCCAAAAGAGAGGCCACAAAAGAACAACAACAAATGAACCATAAATATACTACAGTAAGCGCAAAGGAAAGCAAATTAAAAGATGTATTTTTAAAAAGCCATTAAATTGGTAAAGATTAAACAAAAATGGAAAGCGTGTGAATGAAGGGCAGGCACTCACAGTCCCCGCTGGAGCGCAGAGAGGCGACACGCTCCTTGAGAGAAAGCGGAAACGCTCCCGGGCCAGCCATTCCAGTCTGAGAATCAGCGCTTAGGAAACAGACACGCGCACAAAGATTTACACGCAAAGGATACTCGGCCCACTTGCAGTGGCAAAAACCTGCAACTAGCGTACATGGCAACTTAACAGGGGACTGGCGGAAGAAGAGACAGTACAGTTCTGCAATGTACCGTGAAAGTCACCACCACGTACTGTGTGAGAGATGCACATCGCAGATACTGCGAAGTTCTCATGGTAAAGAAAAGAGTTCCGAGACAGTGCGATACCACACTCCACAGTCTCGGTACAAAACCTCACCATCACACGAACTTACCAACAGAAGTAAGTGGGAAGGAATACCCTCCACGCCACCAGCGGCGACCGCTGCGAGCGGACAGACAGGGGAGCTTTATTTACGTCGAGGGCGCGTCTTTCTCCTCCCAAAACAGTCCGCACCGCTGACCCTGGGACGAGGCCGGGGTGCGGCGCCTCCGGCCCGCGCGGTCGAAACTTCGCGTACAACTTAAGTCGGCCGCCGGGTACCCGGATTCCCCGCCGGGTGTGGAAAATACAGTTCACTCTTGAAAAACACAGGGGTCCCTGGTTAAACTTTAATGATGTCCGTGGTAGGGAAGACGACACTTACTTTATTTGTACAAGTTTCCTCCCTCCAACTTCAGGACTGCCGGCGGCGACGCGGCCTCTTTTCCCAGGTCAGGACGCCGGCGGCTCCTTTCTTCGGCCGGAAGCGCTCAGGGACCCTAAGGCAAGGCCACCCGGGGCTGTTGCCTAGCAACCTTGGGCGGTCCACTTCAGGAAACGGAAGAGGAAAATGCACAGGCGCAGTAGATGAACCAGCGTAGCCCAAGAAACCGGTGGTTCCAGTCGCCGTCTACTTGACCGGCTCTGACCGGAAGCCGTGGAGTCACTTCCGCCCTTACTAAACATGCCCGGCCTCTTTCCTGTCCCCTCCCACCCTCTCAGGCTAGAGGCGGGGCTTCGCCTCTCCGGCCGGTGCGGTTGGTCGCGGCGAGACTCCGAAGTGTCTCTGGTCAGACGCCCAAAGGAGGGCATTCTAGTCTTGAGGGCCTGGTCGCGTTATGTCCTGGGCCTGGAGCCAGGAACTGGCATTTTCCGGGTCGCTCTCTATGGTCTCTTTGGACGGATAGAAGGGGCCGCACAAGGTATTATGGGACAATAATGGCGGCGTTCAAGGTGCAGGTTTTGGTACTCTAAGGCGATCTGAGCGAGGGTTTGGCGGCGCCGGCGCCCCGGGATCCGGGACAGAACCTCCCGAGAGTCGGGCTTGGTGAGGTGAGGGTCCCTTCTTCCTTCCGGACCTGCCCTTCGCCGATCATGGCTGCTCCAGGCGGCGGGTGTCTGTCCTTCGCTCAGGTCGGGCCCGGGCTTGGGAAGTGGGGTCCCTGTCACTTGGCTTGTCTTACCCGCGCGGGTCCTGCCTGGCCGGGCTTTTCTCTCTGTTCTGCTCGGACCCGGGGCGGCCTCTGCGGCCAGGGATGCTTCCCGGGTCGCCCTCCTTGGGCCTCGGCATTAGCCCGCTCCCACACGGACGTCTGAGCCCTTGTGCCTTCCTCTTCGCTGACACATTGTATCTCTAGGCCATCTCCTCTGCTAGAATGTTAACCCCAAGAGGGCGGGGGTTTTCGTCTGGTTGGTTCTCTGCTCTGTCCCTATTTCCCAGAACAGCGATGGGCTCAGGGGAGGTACTGAATGAATAATCGTTCAGTGAGTAAATCCAGTTTCTTTCTTCCACTGCTTTCCCCCCCCTCCTACCTCATGTAGCCTCTTTGTCATTAATCCTTCTCCAGAATCCAGCCCCTTAGCTCCTTGTTTATTCATCTCAGCAGCGAATTAAGTTTTGCTGTCAGACACCTTATCTAGTGCCGCTGGTATCTTCTCTTGCTGTCTCTCCAAATGGCTCACTTCCGGTTTCCCTTTAATCAGTTTAAATTCATTAATCCATTTATTCATCGAACGTGTGTTTTGACTAGGCATTGAGTACAGCATCAGCAAGACAGGCAAGTCAGGGCTCTTTCTCCTGCATAGAATGGCATGGGAATGGCATGGGAATGGCATGGGAATGGCATTCCAATGTTTTCTAGGTTAGACGACTTCCGAGCACAGCCTGTACGGCTCCACCTTCTTGCTTAGATTTTCTCACGGGTATATTCAGGTGTCAACAACATGCAGCTTCTCCTTCTCCTACTCGACATTTTTCTTTCTTTCTTTCTTTCTTTCTTTCTTTCTTTCTTTCTTTCTTTCTTTGCTAATCGTCATCTGGGGATATTTTTCCCCCCATTGATTTTCAGAAAGTGGAAGGAAGGAAGGAAGGGTGGGAGAAAGGGAGGTAGGAGGAGGGAGGGAGAGAGAGAGAAAGAGAGAGACACATTGATGCGAGACATCGATTGGCTGTCTCCTGCACATGCCCCGATTGGGGCGAGACTGAACCTACAACTCAGATATGTGCCCTTGGCCCTTGACCTTTGATCGGGAATCAAACCCATGACCCTTCAGTTGGCTGGCCGATGCTCTAACCACTGAGGAAACTTCCTACAAGGCCAGGCCCCTGATGACATTTTTCAAAACGTAGCTCTTGTTTCTGTGTCCATATTATGTGTCTAGTCTGTTTGACTGTATTCCTCCATAGAACTGTGCACGTTAATTGGAGCTGTGCAAATCATTCTGGATTCTGGTGGTACACCACTCCTTGACACTTCCTTTGCTTCACTGACTTGTTGGAATGAGGGCTCAGAATTGGTGTATGTTCACAAGTGGATGGTGTATAATGGAAGGGAAAGAGGAATTGATTAGAAGCGGAGTACCAGGAAATCTTACAGCCACCTAAATAAGTACTCTTCAGAAACACCCATTTTCTAACCTAGTGTTTCTCATCAATGTTTTTGATGAACATAGATGATTTTTAAACAGATTTTGAGTTCTATATACAACTGGTCCAAAAAAAGCTAGTAAAGTATGGATCACATAGATGGTAGCCTTGTACCCTAGTATCTCTGCAGTCTCTGTGAGTTTAAAGGGAGGGAGAGGTAGAAGAACTCATGTAAAAAAAAAAAAAATGGCAAGGGACCCAGCATAGGAGCACAGCAAAGAATATAATGTAACAACTGCATTTATGTAACTCTTTATAGTTACAGAGAGCTTTCACATATTCTCTTTTGTTTGATTTTCACAAGAAGTCCATGGAGTAGAGCAAAAAGTATTTCCATTTTATAGATGTAGAAATTATGCCTAACCAAAGATTAAGTTATTTGCTTATACTTATATAGGTAGAAAATAATCAGGAGCCTGGGTTCCCACTGAGGTTTCTGACTTCATACCTGCTTGAGTTTCTGACTTCAAATCCCCGACACTCCCTTTATAGATGTCATCATGCTCTAATAAGTGTGCCATCATGAGGCCCGAGAATGCTGTCTTGGATCCTGGTATTTGGGGTGAATGTGTGTATATTTCTTATGTGTGTTGAGGTGGGAGTAGGGTGATCTTTTGAGATTGTCAATGACTTGATGGAAGGATCTTAGCAAGAGGTACTTAAGAAATCCTAGTCTTAAATATACCTATGACTACAGCTATCTTAGGATATAGCAGAGCTAAGCCTTTCCCCTCTTATGTCCTTTGCCAAATGGCTTGTTTTCCTTCTAGAGAAATCCCAGAACCTATCATGGAGGACACCAGTGAAGACACCTCGATCCATAGATTGGAAGGCACTGATGGGGACTCTCAGGTTGGCGGTCTTATTTGCAAGACCAAAAGTGCAGCCAGTGAGCAGCATGTATTTAAGGCCCCTGCTCCCCGCCCTTCATTGCTGGGACTGGACTTGTTGGCCTCCCTGAAACGGAGGGAGCGAGAGGAGAAAGACGATGGGGAGGACAAGAAGAAATCCAAAGTCTCTTCCTACAAGGACTGGGAAGAGAGCAAGGATGACCAGAGGGATGCTGAGGAGGACGGCAGTGACCAGTCGGGTCGAGGTAGCCGGAAAGACAGGTAAAGGCTTTAGGATGAGTTGACCCATAGGGAATGAAAATGGAGGCCAGGAAATAATGTCCCACATTTATCTCTCAGTTTTCTTGGATTTATTTGATTTTATAACATTGAGGGCAGATAGGAACTGGTACATTCTTCAGATCTGTGGGGGACATTTAAAGGAGATGGTGGTGGCTAGAAATGCTTTGGGTTGTTGCTGTATGGAAGCCTGCAGTACCAGGGGATGAAGGGGAAAAGGACAGGTCACTCGTTGGGCACAGCCAGAGGCGGGCGAGGCTTTTCTCCTTTACCTGTTGCCCTCCCTGTTTCAGACATTATCGCTCTGCTCGGGTAGAGACTCCATCCCACCCCGGTGGTGTGAGCGAAGAGTTTTGGGAACGTAGTCGGCAGAGAGAGCGGGAGCGCCGGGAACATGGTGTCTATGCCTCGTCCAAAGAAGAGAAGGATCGGAAGGAGAGATCGCGGGATCGAGATGGTGACCGCAAGAGAGACAGAGGTAGGGTGCCCAGCATAGGTCCCATAGCCCATTAAGTATTTGAATGAACATGCCAGCATCTTTCCTGTTGCAGGAGTGTTTATAATGCCCATTAAATTAAGAAGCCCTATTTGCATAATGTCATTCTGATTGGTTTTGACCCTGTTGGGATTGGGAATAGCAGGCAGTTTAAGAACTGTTACTTGCAACATAGCTGCTATGTTTGAATGTGTGGTCTTCCTTTTATTATGCAACTTGGTGATAAAGGTGATAATGAGTAGTATGTTTGAGAAACCAGAGTTGACAATAGTGCTAATGACAGAGAAAGGACAGTGCTATGGAGCAAAGCTAGACATAGTCCAGTGCTGGCCTTGCTCAGTAGTGTTTAAGTTTTATACCTTATAGACTTGTAACTCTTAAGCAGCTACTCACTATAGACTTGTAACTATCCTCTTCTGAATTCTTACAGGAAGGTAACTGTTACTGTGAGTTTGAAACTTTCTAGCCAGTAACTGTTTTTCCCCTTGAAAGAATGGGGACATGTGAGTGTCAGGAGCCCATGGATAGAGCAGTGCAGGTTGTACCTGTGAGTGAGTGGGAAGGCCTGTCCTTTCCTGAGGGTGAAGACGGGTGGAAGTTGGGATGGGACACATGTTTCCTAAGCTCTGCGTGTGACTCCTGACAGATGAGCGGGATAGAAGCCGGCACAGCAGCAGATCGGAACGGGATGGAGGGTCAGAGCGCAGCAGGAGAAATGAACCAGAGAGCCCGAGACACCGACCTAAAGGTAGACTGAGCTGTTGCTGGTGGTGGTTTGTGAGGGGTCAGGCGTATAAAAGGCAGGATGAGCAACTCCCCTCCTCAGTGGAACTGCTGTGGGCATAGAATTCCTGATTCCATCATGAATTCTAGGACTCTGATTCTGAGTCGGGTGGGAAGACCCTGGACCTCTCTGTGAAGATGGATATGCTTTAAGGTGAGGGGTGGCTTACTGAATGGCCACTTTCCTGTATGGCAGGAAAGAATAGGAGCTGGAGAGCAGAAGGAGCCATTAAAATAATTACATTTAAAGGGTTATGTTTGCAGAGACAAATAGGAAATTCCTTGAAATGTTACAAACACAGATGAAAACTGAACTGTTAAAACGCAGATATCTTTTTTTAAAAAGTGTTTTTATTGATTTCAGAGAGGAAGGGAGAGGGAGAGGGAGATAGAAACATCAATGATGAGGAGAATCATTGATTGGCTGCCTCCTGCACGCCTCCCACTGGGGATCGAGCCCGCAACCCGGGCATGTGCCCTTGACCAGAATCGAACCCGGGACCCTTTAGTCCACAGGCTGATGCTCTATCCACTGAGCCAAACCAGCCAGGGCAAAATGCAGTTATCTTTAAAAACTGTCAGAACCATCTTACCCATT